CCGTCGTCAGTTGTGGTGCTTGCTCTGCACCCGACACTTTTTGAAGGGGAGGTTAAATTCTTCAGTTGGGTATGCCACGCGAAGAAGTTTGTCATAGAGCAAGCTAGTCGTCGAATGCTTTTTTTATAATATAGCTAAACCCAAGTTCTGTGAAAACATACAAGGTATTAATTATGAGGCTAACCCATGGGATATGGGTATTAGTAACTCAAGAACCTACCAGATCTTCCGCAGTCATGACATACAACAAGCTCCTCAGCTTTCTTCGTCTTCTTGTTCATGTGTTTACTGCCAAGACACAAATCACAGATCGAAGATGTTTCAAGGTGAGAGGAGATTTCTGAAACGTTGGAATTCCATCTCAACCAGCCGGAACTCACCATAGCTCAGGAACAGAACACAAAGAACAATTATGTAAACTGGCAACACTTACCTACGTTCACACCAGAAGGTAAGGGCATGTTATGTTGAAAAGCTTTGTGATAGGCTAAGCCCGCGAGACTCTTGTAGGACGCTGCGCACACTGAAGAAAACAAATTATAAATGATAGTCAACTGATTGGTTAATGTCAGAAGCAGCCAGTCGCGACCGGCAACCGTGCAGCGGGCCGTGGGACGCCAAGTGGGCGGGACGCGGCGCTTCAACGCGGATTGCCGGGCGCTGACGGGCGCTGGCGCTCGTCACTCACATTTGCAGTGGTAATTCATCGTTTCATCCGCCGCGTCCTGCGCCGCACTTGCTGCCGCGGCGCTACTTCGCCCTCCTCTCGAGGAGTCACTCGCCTTCTTCTTGTTTTTTGAGCTGCTTCCGCCACCAGACGAACTGCTTTGAGCTTTGCGACTTTTCCGCTTCGAACCCCAATCATCTTCATCACTACCGCCATCATCGTTCGATCCGTCCTCATCTCCTTCTTCAGTGTAATCCTAAAAATGGTAGTGACTGAAGAATCGTACCAGAAAAGAAATGGTGTATTAAAACTCACAAAGAGACCCTTTGGCGTTCCTTTTCCTTGACCATAATCAAACCCAGGTTCTGTTGACTCTGAAAGCAGTACTTCTCTTGGATGGAAGTTGCGATGCTGTATGGAAGACAGTTACTGTCAAGCTTGAAGGCATAAAAGTGATGTGTAAGAGCGTTCAATAGTAAAGGTGGTGGTGTGAGTGGGCTGAAAGCAAAAAAGAAAGCAAAATGAACCACTGAAAACATCGAGTGTGGTATGATAGGTCGACGGACTACTTGAACTCAGCCCTTTAAACCGCCTCTGCGCTCTCTCGCGGGTCCCTCTCCTCTCCAAGGCTTAGTCCTAGGGCATTCACCCGTTCTCTAATCGTCTGTGCTCTAGCCATCGCGGCAGGACCATTGAGGAAAAATCAAGTAGTCCGTTAAACCC